AAATGTCCTTCCCCACTTACCCTGGAAAAAAAAAAACTGAAATGTAAAAATATGTATAGATTAAAAAATAATTTAAAGGCTTTTTGTTAAACCAGGCTTAACATTGCTAAAAACTCTTAAGGGTTTCCCACAAAACTCAAAATAAAATATGACCCCTGTCCATGCCCCCTGAGGCCTTGCTGAACCCTCCTCACAAGCCAGTTTTCCTCTTTAGAGGCTCTGGCCTGGTACTGCCTTGAAGTTTTTACTTTGTGTCTCCTCTGCCTGGAACTCTCTCTGTTCCTGTCAGCATTCAGGCCTCTGCTCGCAGACCACCTCCCTAAAGGACATTCCCCACCTAAGTCAGCCACCCATCACCCTCTATCAGGTAGCTTGTTTTGCTTGTTGCTTCGCAGTGTCTTGTGGGAAATTGGGGGAAGCAGGGTCCCTGTGGGCCCCCCGAGGGTCCCACTCACCCAGGATGATGACAACAGTCTTAACCAGGCTGAGCGTGGTCTCTCGGTAGCGGGGGTGGCAGCTGACATGCTCCGCCATGCGCTGCACTCGCCGCCGCACATAGAAGAAAATGCGGGTGTAGACAGCCACCATGAGCAGGAAGACAAGCAGGCTGGACAGAGCCCAGACGGCCAAATAGGAGCGGCTGAGCAGGGGTGCCATGCGTGAGCAGCGGTCCAGGGCGCAGAGGCAGTGCCAGGAGTGGGCAGGCAGCAGCCCCAGGCCCAGGGCAGCCATCCACACGCCCACAATGAGCATGACGACGCGGCCACGGGGCAGGCGGCTGTGCAGCTGCACGGCCATCACGCTGCGGTGCCGCTCCACCGCGATGGCCAGCAGTGTGGCCACCGACGCCGTGAGGCTTGTGTCCAGCAAGCCCTGCCGCAGGAACCAGCCCTCAAGGGAAAGCCGGGCTGTGCGGGGGCCGGTGTGGAACATGAGGAAGAGGTACGCCACGCCTGCGAAGAGGTCAGCCGCGGCCAGGTTGCCCAGCAGGTAGTAGATGGGCTGGTGGAAGCGGCGGTTGGACGCGATGGCTGCAATGACCAGCAGGTTGGTCAGCAGCACCAGCACGCTGACGGTCAGCCCCAGTGCCACCACGACTATATCCTTGGGCCGCCAGTGGGAGCTGAGCTCCTTGCCACTGTTGTTATAGAAGAAGCCAATGGTCTCGTTGTAGTAGCACTGGCCCATGGTGACCATCTGGGGACACACAGAGATCAGTGCATGTGGCGCTTCTTGGAAGGACACAGGGAGGGGCGGCAGCTGCAGAGGAGGGTCAGCACAGGAAGGGGAAGGGTCTCGAATTCAGATGCCTTGGAGCAAAGTGGCAGTGGTGAGGACCAGGGTGGCCTGGAAAACGCAAGCTCCTTGGGGCTTGGGTGGGGGTTGACGAGCAGCTGTTTCTTATCTACTGCTAAGACCTGTGTGCACGACATCACACAAGTCAATGGGTTTTTTAACCAGAAGCAGCGAAACAAAACACATCCGTGGTCCAATCCCAACTCACCTGCCGCCACTGTGTGATCCGGTTTGGGTTGTGGGGAGAGGAGGGTTAGGGCAAGACAAAGGGGTGTGAGCTGCGGGACGAGATGAGGATGGGTCACTTGGTGCCGGAGTCAGTGTAGGGAGCAGAGACCCCGGGGCGTGGGTGCACAAGGGTGCGGTCACTTGCTAAGACCCTGCGAGGGGGCGGTGCCGAGACGTGGAGGTGATCGGAGTGGGCAGAGAGGCGGCCCCAGAAGTTGGGGAGCAGGATTTGGGCGCGAGTGCTTCCCAAACGGGCGGGGCACCGGGCTGTTCCGGGTGGGACGGAGGACATTGGCGGTCTCCGGGACAAAGACAGCGGTTGGGGAAGGGACGGCGGGCAGGGCCTCCAGGCGTCTCCAGGCTGGGGAAGGGGTAGGGGGAAAGGGATCAGGGGGCAGCGTCCTGGCCCCGCAGGCACGTGCCGCGCCCTACCCCCGGGCCCAGGCCCGCACCCGCCCGCCTCCCGTCCGTGCCGGCCTCACCTGGGCCACCCGTCACGCTGCAGACGAGGCAGGCTCGCGGGGGGTCGGGGAGGGTTCCAGGCCCATGGCCCGGCGACCGCGGCGGGAGCGGAGGAGCGTCCGGGTGCGCCCGGCGCGGGCTGCAGAGAGGGCACAGGAGGCGGGGTCTCCCCCGGCGCCCCGCCCCCACCCCGGCCACCTGGGGAGCCCCGCCCCGCCCCGCCACCTGGGAGAGCCCCGCCTTCGAGGCCGCGTCGGTGGCGGAGTCGCCCGGAACCGCAACCCTCCAGTTTCCTCCCCGCCTCGCGGCCCCTCAGTCGCCTCTCTCTATTTCCGGCGGGGGACCCCCACCCGGGTTCCTGCACACCTCACGCGCCCGCAGTTTCGAGTCACTCGGGCGACCCGAGAATTCCCACCGTGACCTCGCGCCGCCAGGGTGTAGTTCTAGGTGGTCTAGGGTCCGCGCCCCGGGTCCGGACCCCCACCCTCCCAGCCCCACCCCGAGCTCTTCTTCGTGTCCAATCGGCCGCCGAGTTACTAGCCACTCCCTGATCCGACCCGGCTCCCACTGCCCGGACCCCCGCCCAGCCTCTGCTTTCCAAGCTTGCAGCTACCGGGCGCCGCGGCCTCCCGCGCGGGGCACATCTCTGCGGCCCCAGCTGATCGTGGACAAGCTAGGGTTTTGCAGTCCCGCCCCCGCACTCCCCCACCCTGGGACAGCGCTGCCTCCTGCACAGCCTGGCCCTGCCCTGCCCTGCGGCTTCCTCCCTCGGCCCCCGTGCAGCGGCCCGGGGCTCCCACGGTCCACAGCACACAGCCCCATTGTCCCGGTTATCTGCACTTTGTTATACTGTATCTGGTTATGCAGGACCGGACTGGGAACCCAGAGCTCCGGGAGGGCCGGGCCGGTGTGACTCATCCGGGTGCTGTGGCCCAGCTCCAGATGCCTTTAGGTAGGTGCACAAGCATGTTTGACGATGCCAGAAGGAGGCCTTGAGGCTGAGCGCAGTGGCCCACTCCTGTAATCCCAGCACTTTGGGAGGCCGAGGCAGGCGGATCAGGAGATCGAGACCATCCCAGGCCAACATGGTGAAACCCGTCTCTACTAAAAATACAAAAAATTTAGCTAGGCCTGGTGGCACAGGCCTGTAGTCCCAGCTACTAAGGAGGCTGAGGCAGGAGAATCACCTGAACTTGGGAGGCAGAGGTTACAGTGAGCCGAGATCGTGCCACTGCACTCCAGCCTGGCCACAGAGTGAGACTCCATCCATTTCAATAAACAAAAAAGGAGGAGGCCTGGATTCCCCTGATTGGTAAATAAGGGGCAAGGACTGCTGCCTACACTGGGCTCTCCCCTGGCAGAGACAAACCCAAGGGCATATAGGACACAGTTTATTAGAGGCCATCAGACCCCAAGCACCACCAGAATGTGGAGTCTGAGCTGCCCATCTCCTCCAAGGTCACTTGGAGTGCAAGGAGGCAGGCAGGTGTGGGGGAGTGACCACAACCAAAGTAGCAAAAGGCACCCCTGTCCCAGGGGTCAGAGGCTAGGATGCACTCCAAAGATCTCATAACCTATATTGACCCTGAGTATTGACCCTGAGTGACCTCTGAGCTCGAGTGACCCTGACGCTTGGCAATGAGCTGTGTCTAGTGGGGGGATTCTGGGACATTGCCCCCAAAAAGGGTTTTAGACCTCCCCCAGGCCATGTATTAAACAGTTTTTCCTAATAGGGACCCTCTTGACCTCCCAACATTGAACTCCTGGCTGGGTGTTTGGCCACCAGGTGGCGGGAGGTAGGGAGATCTGGGTCTGTCTTCTCAGTCCTGGGCCTCTTCCCTGCCGGGGTGGTCAGAGATGGTCCTCGGTTTCCTCAGGCTGGACGTCTGGGCAGCAGGTGGCCCTGGGCACAGCCTCGCTGTCCAGTTTGGACAGTAGCCGGGCTGTCTCCTGGGTGATCTCAAAATGCTTGGGCAGCGGGGTGCGGCGCAGGGGGCTGCCCTCACGGGAGGTGGTTGCAGGGCTGGGCCCCCGCCCCCGCAAACTCCCTCTGGGCACTGATGTGATGGGGGTCTCTTCGCACAGCTTGGAAGCCACCAGGGCCAGACTGGACAGCTGGTGGGTGACAGGCCGCACACCGCCCCGGGGATACTTCACTGGCTGGCGGCTGAAGTGGCCACGAGACTGTGTCCCCAGGAGTGAGTCCTCAGGGCCTTGGCTGGACGCTGTGTGTACGGGTGAGCGGTCAGCGCAGAGTACTCCCAAGTTCTCTGGACACCCCCACACCAGGAATCATCTTTTAGCCAAGCCACCCTGGGGCCAGGGCAGCCCCAGAACCTCTCCCTCACATACTCACCTTCCCCTCCTCCATCTTTGATGTCTTCAGCCATTTCCTCTCTCTGGTCACTCTGTGGAGTTGGAATCTGCAGGGAGAAACCCAAGAATGAGACCCTAACACTAAAATCCCAAGATGGAGTGAGACTCCATCTCAAAATAATAATAATAATCATAGTAATAATCATAAGTATCCTGCCTGCCCTTCCGGCACAGAGCAGTGTCATTCATTGAGTCTGAGCTATGGGCTCCACTAGGGTGGGAGAATCCTTGTTTAGCAGAGGGCCAGCCCAGGGAGTGGCTCAGCTTTCTCCACGTTAGGACCAGGTGGGGCCTCTGAACTACCATCCTGGGCTGCTCTCTGCAACCTTATCAACCTTACTGTCGGCCGGGCGCGGTGGCTCACGCCTGTAATCCCAGCACTGTGGGAGGCCGAGGCGGGTGGATCACGAGGTCAAGAGATTGAGACCATCCTGGTCAACATGGTGAAACCCCGCCTCTACTAAAACTACAAAAAATTAGCTGGGCATGGTGGTGCATGCCTGTAATCCCAGCTACTCAGGAGGCTGAGGCAGGAGAATTGCCTGAACCCAGGAGGCGGAGGTTGCGGTGAGCCGAGATCGCGCCATTGCACTCCAGCCTGGGTAACAAGAGCGAAACTCCGTCTCAAAAAACAAAAAACAAAAAAACAAAAACCTTACTGTGCCATTTTTAGCTAAATGGTTGGTAGCTTGGGTTCTTTCTACACATCAGACACTGTCCTGAGCACTTTATGAGCCATTCCAGCTCTCAGAGACCCTCAGTTCACCAGTGGCCGCTTCCCAGCTCTGGGCCACTGCAGGAGAGATCCTTACTCTCAGGAATGCCGAGTGCAGCAGCCAGCAGCTCAGGCCTTGGGCATGGACTGTTCTAGCAGTCCAGAGCGGCGGGTGCTGCTGCTTCCTGGTTCACAGCTGAGCTCTGGATCCAGACTGGTGACCTTTGTTAAAGATTCTAGGCCAGGCACAGTGGCTCACACCTGTAATCCCAGCACTTTGGGAGGCTGAGGTGGGCGGATCACCTGAGGTTGGGAGTTGGAGACCAGCCTGACCAACATGGTGAAACCCCGTCTCTAATAAAAATACAAAAAAATTAGCCAGGCTGGGCACAGTGGCTCATGTCTGTTATCCCAGCACTTTGGGAAGCCAAGGTGGGCAGATCACGAGGTCAGGAGTTCGAGATCAGCCTAACATGATGAAATCCCATCTCTACCGAAAATATAAAAATTACTTGGGCATGGTGGCACGCACCTATAATCCCAGCTAGTCAGGAGGCTGAGGCAGGAGAATCGCTTGAACCTGGGAGGCAGCGGTTGCAGTGAGCCCCTGGGCAACAGAGTGAGACTCCGTCTCAAAAAAGAAAAAAAAAAATTAGCCAGGCATGGTGGCGCATGCCTGTAATCCAGCTACTCCAGAGGCTGAGGCAGGAGAATCACTTGAACCCAGGTGGCAGAGGTTGCGGTGAGCTGAGATCATGCCATTGCACTCCAGCCTGGGCAACAAGAGCAAAACTCCGTCCAAAAAAAAAAGATTCTAACTGCGGCCGGGTACAGTGGCTGACGCAGGTGGATTACTTGAGGTCGGGAGTTCAAGACCACCCTGGCCAACATGGTGAAACCTTGTCTCTGCTAAAAATACAAAAATTAGCCAGGTGTGGTGGCACGCACCTATAGTCCCAGCTACTCGGGGGACTGAGGCATGAGAATCAATTGAACCCGGGAGGTGGAGGCTGTGGTGAGCCAAGATTGCTCTAGCCTGGGCAACACAGTGAGATTCTTTCTCCAAAGACAAAAAAAAAGATTCCAACTGCTACAGCTCCCCTTTGAGGGCCATTCACTGGCTGAGAGCCTGCACTGTTTCATCCGTAAATGATTTTCACTAACAGCGCCTACTTCTCAGGACCGTGGAGAGGACAACAGGAAGCCTCTGTAGTATCCCCTGCATAGCAGGTGTGCATTCAGTGGTGGTCTGTGCCCTGTGCATAGAAGTGCTCTGTGGTGTTCCACATCCTGTGCATAGCAGATGCAAGGTTGGGGTGGCTGGCAGAGCCACCTGAGCCCACTCCTCTTTCATATCACTTCCTACCACCTTCCCCTTATTCAATACAGAGTGGGGCTGTGCTCCTACCTCAGGGCCTTTGCACTGGCTATTCCCTTTGCCTGGAACACCCTTCACCTGAGCTTCACGTGGCTGGCTCACTCCTTCACGTCCTTCCAGTCTTTGCTCAAATGCTCAAATCTACCTGCTCTATAAGACCTGCTCCGTGCTACAGACTGCCCTCTACGCTCCCACAGTACTGCTCCCCCGTGTCCTGTGTCTCTTTTGTTTTGTTTTGTTTTTTGGAGATGGAGTCTCGCTCTGTCGCCCAGGCTGGAGTGCAGTGGCGCCATCTTGGCTCACTACAACCTCTGCTTCCCAGGCTCAAGCGATTCTCCTGCCTCAGCCTCCCGAGTAGCTGGGATTAACAGGTGCACACCACCATGCCCGGCTAATTTTTATATTTTTAGTAGAGGCGGGGTTTCTCCATGTTAGTCAGGCTGGTCTTGAACTCCTGACCTCGGGTGATGTGCCTGCCTCAGCCTCCCAGAGTGCTGGGATTACAGGCATGAGCCACCACGCCCAGCCATTACTCTGTCTTTTAATGATCGTTACCCTTATCGCCATCACCTTATCACGTCCCAGATAACAGACTTAGTGTCACGTTTATTGTTGGTCTCTCTCCACTAAAAGGCAGGCACAGAGAGGACAAGGTCTTTGGATATTTAGCTCATGGATGTATCTGCAATGCCTACGACAATGCTTGGCACACAGTAGATGTTCAATAAATATTCTGTGGGAGGCATGAATGAGCAACCATGTTCGTACCTCTGCAGGGCTGTCCCCTCTGGTTACACCATCTCTGCCCACTGCTCATTCCTCACTATTCCTTCCAGAATGAACACAAGTTAAATGAGGAAGGGAGGGGGAGAATGAAGGAAATTTTCCAATTTTCAAAGGAAGATGAAAGAGAGGGTAAGGAACTGAACAGAGACAAGGCCCTCTCCACGGCTGTGGGCCCCGTGGGTTCCTACCTCAGTGGGTGTAGCGGTGGGATGCTGCTCCACGTCACTGTGGGGCTGGGGGTCCGGGCCGGGGGACGAGGCTAGGATAGGGGGCTGGGAGTCCGGGTCAAGGTGCAGGGGTGGCGGTTGGGGGCTGGCTGTGAGGGACCCAGGGGCTGGGCTGGAGTCTTGGGGTGGGGGCTCGGTGGCCTGGGGGAGCTCATCCATCCCAAAGATCTGCTCGTAGTGCACGATGAGGAACTCCACAAGCTGGGCCTGATGCCCAGAGTCCAGCAGGCAACTGACAGGGATGGCGCCGGCTGCCCGAGGACCATCCGGTGGCCGCAGCAGCGTTGGCCCGAACACAATGCCCAGATTGTTGGCAGACATCTTGTTTTCCATAAACCGTGCAGCCACCCTGGGGATGGTGTGAAGAGAAAGGTCAGGGTACAAGGTGCAAGGTCATTGGTCTGAGGGCAAGGGTGGGACCTGCAGGCCAGCTTCGTGGTGACTTGCCCGTATCACAGGTGTAAGTCCTCTGAGACCAGCAGCCACATATCCAGGGTTGGGGGTCAGGGGTCAGTAGCCAAAGTTAGGAATCATGGATTAAGGTTCAGAGTTCGGAGAACATAGGCCAAAGGTCAGAGGTCAGTGTCAGGGGTCGGCCAGGGAAGTCAGTAGTCACGCGTCCAGGGAAGAGGGTGGCGTTTCAGGGCTCAGGGGCCCGTGCACACCTGAACAGATGGGCCACCAGGTGCCGCAGGGTGTTGTAGTTAGAGTGAGGCAGCTGCGCCAAGAGGGTCTTGAGTGAGGGGATAACCTCAGGGCTGCGGCTGGGGGTCCTGCGGTCGTCCCCAGGGTCTGCATGCAGGGTCTTAGCCAGAGAGATGAAGGCGTCGTAGAGGTGGAAGGGGATCACGGGGTCGGTGAGCTGGGGGCGGAACGGAGGGCGCGATACGAGTGTGGGTGGGCTGCGGAGGGCCCCTGCCCACGCCCCCCTCAGTGTCCTGAGCACCCACCTCCTGGAGAAACCGCTTGAGGACACTCGAGACATCGTGAGGCGAGTTCCCCGACAGCTCCACCAACGCTCGGCCATTCTCGAAAGCCTGGCACAGACGCTCCACACGGACCCGGGACCCGCTGACCCGGTAAATGCCCTGCAGGGTGAGGGGGAGAGACGGACGCCTGGTTCACGATCAGGCCATTGATTTGCTCAGGTCACTTCCGGGGATGATGAAGGGTCAGGGCAGCACCTGCACATCCAGGGCGCGGTGTTCTATCTCAGCTGTGCACCTTGTGACCACAAAGGGTACCTCCTCCGGGAAGTCTCTGGGGAGCTGCAGGAAGTCGACCCCAAAGATGGGTGTCCGGGCTGGGAGCCGCCTATGTCCACAGAGGATCAGCAGAGTCTCCAGGCAGCGCTTGTGGCAGGTCAGGAAGCACTGCAGGGAAGGTCACAGGGACAGGGGGTCATTAGGGACCAGTGGGGGAAGAGCTAACAGGGATCCTCAAGGAATGGGGGCTTATGGGAGACATCAGATTAGGGTGGGTCCTGGGGGCAGAAAGGTTGTAGGAATCTTAGGTTGGGGAGGTGATCAGGGGTCAGCAGAGATTATTTGGTCATCGGCCCAGGCCACACCTCCTCACACTCCGTCCCGCTGACCATGAAGGCTTCACACTCGCGGCACTTGGCTGGGCCCCGCAGTCGCCGCAGCCGGTGGGTCTGAGCCGCGCTGGACAGCGTCCACTTCCTGAAGGGGCTCCCCAGCCCATTCTCCAGCCCGTCTCCCAGGTCTGCAGGGAGACAGGGTCAGGGGTGCCTGGTCCACCTCCTGCCCTGCGCTGTCCCATCCTGCCCTACCCTGTCTGCTTCCAGCCTCACCAGGGTCTCGCTCCTCAAAGTCATCTGAGGACTCAGTGCCTGTGGACGAAGCCTTCACCAGCCGCCGCCTGCCAGCGCCTGGGGTCAGAGGAATCATGGGAGATTCCTGGGCTACGGAGGCACTCCTGCTTTATTAGGGCTTCCAGCACCACCCACTAATTCCCAAGGGGTCAGAGATCAGGAGAGGGATTAGACAGGTCAGTGGTTAAGGGTTGGAGAATTGGGTCAGCAGCCCGGGGTCGGGGCAGGGGGTGGTTCAGAAGCTGGATCAAGAGGTTGAGGAAATAGGCTGGGCATGGTGGCTCATGCCTATAATCCCAGCACTTTGGGAGGCTGAGGCAGGAGGATCACATGAGGCAAGGAGTTTGAGACCAGCCTGGCCAACATGGCAAAACCTCATCTCTACTAAAACTACAAAAATTAGCCAGGCATGGTGGTGGGTAGCTGTAGTCCCAGCTATTCAGGAGGCTGAGGCATGAGAATCGCTTGAACCTGGGAGGTGGAGGTTGCAATAAGCCAAGATTGCACCACTGCACTCCAGCCTGGGCAACAGAGCAAGACTCTGTGTCAAAAAAATATTCAAAGGTCCCATCTCTCGGCTTTGGAGACCCCTCCGTCTCTGTACAGGGGAGCCTCTTCTTTCTTTCTTCCCCCTTCTTTCTTTTTTTTTTTTTGAGACGGAGTTTCACTCATGTTACCCAGGCTGGAGTGCAATGGCGCGATCTCGGCTCACCGCAACCTCCGCCTCCTGGGTTCAGGCAATTCTCCTGCCTCAGCCTCCTGAGTAGCTGGGATTACAGGCACGTGCCACCATGCCCAGCTAATTTTTTTTGTATTTTTAGTAGAGACGGGGTTTCACCATGTTGACCAGGATGGTCTCGATCTCTTGACCTCGTGATCCACCCGCCTCGGCCTCCCAAAGTGCTGGGATTACAGGCTTGAGCCACCGCGCCCGGCATCTTCCCCCTTCTTTCTTGCCTATTAAACTCCCTGCTCCTTAAAACTAAATTAAAGAAAGAAAGAAAAAGGCTGGGTGCAGTGGCTTACACCTGTAATCCCAGCACTTTGGGAGACTGAGGCAGGCAGATCACCTGAGGTCAGGAGTTTGAGATCAGCCTGGCCAACATGATGAAACCCCATCTCTACTAAAAAATATAAAAATCAGCTGGTGTGGTGGTGCATGCCTGTAATCCCATCTACTCTGGAGGCTGAGACAGGAGAAGCATTTGAACCTGGGAGGCAGAGGTTGCAGTGAGCTGAGATGCCACCACTGCTCTCCCCAACCTGGGTGACAGAGTGAGACTCTGTCTCTAAAAAATAAATAAATAAAAATTTTAAAAGGTGAAAAAAGAGGTTGAGGAAATATGGCAGGGGTGTGGGATAGGTCAGAGGTCAAAGGATAGTTAAAGATTGAGGGTCAGAGCTTGGCCAAGGGCTGGAGGATGGTCACAGGTGGAGTGTGGGTCAGGACCAGGTCCTATCCCTACCTGGGCTGGAAGTGGGAGAGTCCAGGGACCGAGACTCACTGCCGCCGCCCACGCTGTCCACATCACTGCCCGGAGTGGGGCCTGGAGTCCCTAGGTGGGACAGGTCAATAAGGATGGTCTTCTGCTCCCAACCCCTGCTCCTGCAACCCACCTATGGTGGGAATGAACTCCTAGCGCCACTCCTACACGGCCCTCATTGCGCTCACCTTGCCAGCGCCAGCCTGTGCCCGGGTCCTCCCAAGGGCCTGGCTCAGCTGAATTCTCATCCAGCCTTGGAGGTAGGGGCCCGGAGAGCTTCTTTCTGATGTCCAGAGGGGAGCTGAGAAGACAGGGGCTTGAAGGTTTAATCCCCAGGAAACTGGCCTGGGGTGATGGCACCCAGGCATCATGTTTAGGTACCAACTCCAAGCACTTAGCTCTGCAAGCCCTGATACCTATGGGCATTGTGGCCCCCTGAATACAGTAGCCCCAAATTCCTGCTCCTGCCCCTGCCCCTAGGACGGAGACAACCCATCCACCCTCCTAAGATTCCCCAGAGCCTGGAGTACTAAATTCCACTAAGGCTTTGTGTTCTCTGACCTCAGTACCCAGCCCCGCGGTGCCAACATCCTGGCATCGGGATTCCAGGGCTCGTTCCCGAGTCCCTGCTCCAGCGACCCACCTGTTCACGGAGGGAATGAGCTCCTGGAAGGAGAAGGCGGACGGTGGGGGCGGCGGGGCCTCGGGCTGCAGTACCCGCACAAACTCCTGGTAGCGCTGGCCCGGCTCAAAGGGCACGCAGCACTCGGCCAGGGCGGCGAAGGCGCGGGGGCCACGCTCCGCCTGTGCCCCCCGCAGCCGGAAGAGACCCAGGGTCACCTGCAGGGTGGCGACAGCAGGCTGGGGAGGGCAGGGGCGGGGCCTGGGAGCCTGGGGGTGGGGCCAGAACGGGGGCGGGGCCTGACCCTTAGAGATGCAAATATGTTTAGGGTTTGGAAGGCACCTGGGCGGCTTAGGAACCAGAGCAGTCGGCCAGGGGACTGGGCATGGTCAGAGCAGGGCCCGGTCATTCAGGAGACAGGACCCCATGAGGGTGGGGCCGAGACAGTGGGTCTGGGACGGGAACTGGCTGTAGAGGGAAACGGCCTAGTCCTGGTGTCCCCAGGGTGTCTTAGGGGTGAGAAGTGGGGCACTCAGTTGGGGCCCCAACAGGGTGAGGGAGGATGGCCCTAGGGATGGGCCTCACCCGCCTCAGCAGTTCGTCCCCCTGAAACACCAGCTTGCGCACGTGCGACACGATTCGCTGCTTGGCTGTCTCCAGGTCCTGCTGCCGCGCGTTGGCCTCTCGGATGCAGGCGTGGTACAGCACCTCGGCCTCCTGCACCTGGGGAAACGGAGGCCGGGAGCGGGGTGGGCCCAAATTCCTGCCCCTGCCCCTAAGACTGGGACGTGTGGGCGAGAGCGGAGGGCAGGGCGTGCCAAAGCACTGCAGGGGCTCGAGGCCGGCTGCCCACCTTGGCCTGGGCCTCCTCTCGAGAGCGCCGCCGCCGCTCCTGCTGCTTGCTAGGTCCCGGCGAGGCCTGGGGGGCCGGGTCCTCAGGGGACCCCTGGGAGCGCGCCCGCAGGTCTTCGCTGCGTTGCACATACTGCAACTGGGCACGCCGAAGTGCCTGCACCGCCTCATTCTGGGGGATGATGAGAAGGTCAGCATCCAAGCCTTGTTCTCAGCCCACCCCTCTCCCCATTCCGAGCCTCACCATCCGCTTCTGCTCTTTCATCCACTGCTCTTTGAACTCCTTCCGCCACTTCTCAATCTCAGTCCGTTTGGCGGCGAGGGGCTGGCAAGGGTTGGGAATGGGAATGGGGACGCTGCCTTAAGGCCACTCCAAAAGCACCCACCCAGTCCTTCCATTCTTGTGCCATATGCTTTGCCACCTCTGGACTTTTTTTTTTTTTTTTTT